AGATTTTTACTTAAAGCCTTTAACTGAGGAAAAAGCACCTGCTCCTGCTGTAGTTTCTGAACGTTTACAGAAAAGACTCCGGAAGACAATCTGCACGTAACGGGCAGGGTCAGAGAGGCCTCGTTCCTGGGCTCTAGCATAGCCCACAGCCTGGCACTAGCTTTCTCACTGGCAGCACGAAGATTTAAATTTGCCTTCCTGGCAAATCATAAATGTTACGTAATAAAATCCCATTTATCAAGCATCCATCAGCATGCATGTCTCCGCAGAGAGGTGTCTGTAAGCTAGCTCCCCAGCACGCCAGCTGGGGCTGTCTGCAGACTCAGCTGTTGCCAGGGGGTGTGTTTGGAGGAAGGGGTGGCTGAGCCCAGGAGATTGGGTGACAGCTTCTGGGTGTACATTTCTGTGTTGTTCTTGTAGGGTTTTAAACAATGAACATATATCAAGTTGCAAAAAAAAAATACAATTTTTCTTGAAAAAAAAAATAAGAGGATTGCTTACAAAGCACATTAAAGTCCCATAATTTGAAAGAACTGGCTGGGCACGGGGGCTCACTCCTATAGTCCCAACACTCTGGGAGGCCGAGACAGGAGGATCGCTTGAACTCAGGAGTTTGAGACCAGCCTGAGCAAGAGTAAGACCCTGCCTCTACTAAAAATAGGAAAAAAAAAATTAGCCTCTACTAAAAATAGAAAAATATTAGCCAGGCATGGTGGTGCGTGCCTGTTGTCCCAGCTACTCAGGAGGCTGAGGCAGGAGGATCACTTGAGCCTAGGAGTTTGAGGTTGCTGTGTGGTAGGCTGACGTCACGGTACTGGAGCCCAGGTGACAGAGTGAGACTGTCTCAAAAAAAAGATAAAAGAAAAAGAAAACTTAGCTGGGCATGGTGGTGTGCACCTGTAGTCCCAGCTACTCAGGAGGCTGAGGTGGGAGGGTCACTTGAGTGAGCCCAGGAGTTGGAGGCTCCAGAGAGCGATGATTGCACCACTGCACTCCAGCCTGGGTGACAGAGGCAGGCCCTGGACCCTGTCTCTAGAAACAAACAAACACACACCCAAGGAATGGCGAAAACGAAGCAAGCGAACCACAGTGCTAGAGAAGCATCAAAAGCACGCTGGCGAGAAGTTCCGCTTGAATCAGCGGCAGATTTCTAAGCAAAATACAAACCTTTTCATTGGACGTCGCTTCATCTTTGCTGACTAACAAACTCTTAGGTGAGTTCTTTTTATCAGAAGATGACTCTGTCTCATCCTCTCTTAAGGCAGATTTTGAAGAACCCAAACAGTGGGAATGTTGGATGGCAATTAGTTCACTACGAATAATAAAACCAAACAAAAACATGTCTTAAAACAATATCATACATATGTCACTAATACTCATACTTAAACGTATCTAAAGAGGACAAAAACATAAGTGTTTTTGTTAATGAAGCAGCTTGAGTTTGAGTAGAATATTACAGCCCAGAGTAGAACATTATAAATCAATGCATACCTTTTGCAAGGAGGAATTAAAAGTTTTAGTTAAGGGTAACTATAGAATAGGGAAGTTTCATCTCCCAAAAAATACAAAGAGAAGAAGGTTCTAGGGAGAGGATCATCCAAAAGGGAGGAAAAAAAACGAACATAGGATAAGATTATACTTGTGAAATTTTCAGGTTTTTGGTTTGTGAGACTAATTTCTGTTAATGGTTTTTTAAAGTCCTTTTATAAAAGTATTATGGCCCCATGGAGGCTCATCGATCCTCCTACAGGTAGACAGTGTTGGGAACAAACATGTAGCTAAGCTTCTAAGTATGTTATTAAGGTTTGGGCTCAAAGCAGAGTTTAACAGCAAAAGCCATTCTGGAACAGACCAGAGGCAACGGAACCGCGTCCTCCCACGTAACCTACAGCTAAGTGGGAACAGGCTGCCTGAGGTTCCTCCCTCCACAGGTAAACCTCGATTTGTCAAATGGAACGGTGGCACAAATGTGAACATTTTAGTTAGATAATGAAGTAGGCACACAAGTTCTTATAATCTAAGGAAAAACAGGAAAACACGATTATCTTTCCTACTTAATCACGTATGTGTCATGTGATGCCTTGGCATGTGTCTCGGCTCGCAGAACAAGCTGTCACTTCAATTACTGTAAGTCAGTGAGGTCAGAGGGGCCTTGAGAGAAACTCTGAATGTAAATTTGAATTTATTTCACATATTAACTTTAATCCATTATGCTCTTAAAACTATCTGACATAAGCTTTTCCCTTAATATATAAATGTTCTTGTTTAGTGGTGAAAAATAGACAGTTGTACCCTACTGACAATTATCCAAAGATCTTTAAAAAACCAAATAAGAATAGATGACATTTAGTGTCACAACCAACTTTAAAAAAAACTTTTTAATTGGCAGAATAACTGTATGATTTTTAAATGACTCAAGCCTTTAAAAGGGCCAAAGGAAAAAAAATGAACACATAAATTAAAAAAATAAATATAAGGGCCAAGAATACTCCAAATAATGAAGTACTAGAAAGAAATTTTAATCATAAAGTCCTGTGAAAGTCAACGTAATGATTGAAATACGGCTCTCAATATAGAAACTTCGTCTTTTCTGGAGTTTAAGATTGAAGAGCTATGTTTTATTTAAAAATAGCAGACATCATTACAGCGCTACTCAACCGCAAGATTCAGCAATTCCAACAATAAGACGGGCCTGGCTAATGCAGCACAGGCTAATGCCTAATCCATTTTCTTCTCAAAAAAAAAAACAACCCAGTAACTTTTACCAGTTTGTTAAATACAAATATGCTTTCTCTTGAGTCTCTCAAGTGATTTTTTTTTTTAAAGTAAGAAAGTTTGGGAAATGTAAAGTCCAAAACAGGTAAGAACCAAACTCAAAGGCTGATGTGGCTGGGTATGCAACTATCCCAAGGGACTCTGGACAAGGGCCATGAGAAATTTTTATGTGGGGTCCAGGCGATGCACCCTGGACCAGAAAGGGTCAGCCTGCCAATTCAGAGTGGCTCACGGGGTGAGGAATGCTCTAGAACAGCATTCCACTCTGCACGGGGACCCACCCATTTGTTTTTTAATAAAACATATTTGCCCAACTCATAATAACTGGTTTTGTTTTTAAACAAAACCTTTGCCTCAGAAGCCATCCTCGGGACAAAGTCTCCACTGGAATCTAACGCGGGCTCTGGGCAAAGGCTGGGCGGTCCACGCCGTGATGGAAAGAGTGAACAGTTTGTCTTGAACAAGGTTTCTGTTTGCAAACCTGCCTTCTGATTAACGGTGCGCATGAAGTGGCCACTGCCGCCCTTTGCACACACTGGAACGAACGTTCCCTGGGTGTTTTCGGCGGTGGACGTTACTAACCTCGTCGAGGAGTTATACTTTGTCCCACTGACGCCTTCTGAACAAGTGCACACAGACTTGTGGCGAACGATTCTTTGCATTTTGGAAGGCTTGAAAATACTCATCCACTCCCCGTCGGACATGTGGCCGGGGGCCTGGATGACGATGTCACTCGGGTGGCAGCACCTGGACGATTCGCAGTCATTTTCACCCAGGCAGGCTTCGCTTTTCTGGCAACGGGAGGTTTCAGACCTTTCCATCTGATCTTGACATTCTACATCCAGCTTTTCCGGTTGTTTTGAACCTGGGCAGCTGGCCAGGCCCAGGTAAACGTTGACGTCGTGCCACTGCTTTTCGTCGGATAAAGCTGATATTTCCGAGAGTTGTTTCTCCTCATTCTCCACCCCGATTCCATTGCTTTTTGGTGATTTTCCATGGATCTTGCATAGTGTAATTTTATTTTCAGGTTCGATCTGGATTTTTCCTCCCGGAGACCAAGATTTTTGTTTCTCCGTTAAGTCTTTTGTAAATACAGATGACAGAGTAATGACACTTTTTCCCCCAAATGCAGAATTGATCTGTAGTTTCTTCTCTTTGCATACGTCACAAGGGCTCTTGTCTGATCTATTTTGCTGAATGAACATGGCCTCAAATTTTTGGTCCTTAACCGGTGACTTCTGATTTTTTTCCCTCTTAACATCGACTTTTGGGTGATTATTTTCAAGGTCTGATAAACACATGTCTCTGCTGTGGTGGCATTACAAAAAATGGAGGTTATGAGATATACTTGATGCTATCATTCTAAGTATTTCACCCAAACCTCACCAGGAGAGCTAAATTGCAGCAAGACCCACTTGTCTGACCCTCAGAGCCCAATTCCAGCCTGACCTCCCACAGGGAGCATCTGACCACCAAGCCCACATTCACTTTCCTTTCCCGCCCTCAACTCCTGTTGTACTTGCTGTCTATATAACAACAACAACAACAAAAAACAAGAATACTACATAATGTAACAAAACCTTTTCATAAACCTTCCTTTACAGTTTTTCATGTCACATGTATTCAGGTATTTCAGGTATTCTAATCTGTATCATAGTGATATTGCCATAGCTTAGAAAACACAACTCTCTCCTATAATGGCAAACACCATTTCATGCTTTTTTTTTTTTTTTTTTTTTTTTTTTTTTAAGAAACGAGAGCTCGCTCTGTCACCCAGGCTGCAGTGCAGTGGCCCGATCGCAGCTCGCTGCAGCCTCCGACTCCTGGGCTAGAGGTGCAAGCCACCACACCTGGCTAATTTTATGCTTTTAAGGAATAACTTCAACTCCTCTAGTGCCTCCCAGTGGCAATGAAATTCAAAAAGGAAAAAGAGCTGGTATGTCGAGGGCTTGCAAGAGAAGCCTGGGCTGTTCTGGGGTCTGCTGGTAGCAGCGGCTGGGATACAGAGCAACAGGTGGCGACCCCAGCAGAGGGCCTCAGAAGGAAAGGACAGCAAGCACCTGACGCCTCAGTGACACTGCCTGGAGCAACACGGCATCCTGCCCCCGCTCTTTCTGACTTCCAGCTGACTACCACTGCTCTGAACCCCTCTCTCCCACGGGGAGGACCCGATGTCAATCCAGCCCAGCCTGTGCCTGTGTTCGGTCCTGGGGAACTGCCCTAATCCCTCCGCCTTTTCGCCATGCCTGGTAACATGTCTGCTTACAAAAGTAGACTCAGTGCCACTATGGTACAGTTATATGCCTGTTAAATGAAACCACACTTTATATATTTATATTTTAATTTTACAGAAACCAATTTAATTCCTACACTGATTATAGGTAAGGGAAGATGTTTCCTATTGCCAAGGAAAACAGGAAAAGCGAGTTGAGAGCACAGATCGCCCTCAGCTAGCGCGCGTCCGCTGCAGCTGCTGATGGCATCATTTCCTTCAGACAAGCACCACGTCCAGCATATCTTTACATTCCGCATTCCTAGCCCCGCGCCCGAACACTGCGAGTGCTGAGTCAACGAATAACTGATTCATCTCTGCAGTTTCTACTCTAGCCTGAAGCCTTCTCCCCAACAGACGCAAATCAGTTTTAATGAATTTACTTTTATCAAGTGGCTACATTAGGATCATGCCCAAAATTCTTAGATCAGGTCTTACTGTAACTTAGGATTACAACGATAATTATTAGCTCTCTTACATTTATTTCCTATTATATGGTGAACAGTACTAAGCGCAGGCTCATGGTAAGTAAGCAATAAATACTGATCAAATGATGGGATAAAATGTAAGATCACATTGATGGCATCGTGCTAAGATTACCTGGATTCCAGGGCCTTTGATTCCTCCATCTTTGAGTCATATATTTGTATTAATTCCTGAGAGTTTTCCACATTGAAATTAAGAAACTGCAGATCACTCTGTTGTTTTACGTAAATCTGCCATAGATATTGATAAATCAGTATGAAATGTCATAACAAAACTAAACTGAACAAAACTAAACTAAACAATCGGGCACTTTCAAACCCTATAACAGATCAGATAGTTACAAGGGAAACATGCCAAATATGTCTGCTTTTATTTTTCCAATGTCAGCATGAAGATTTATGGGCATAGCCAGTCTCCTAACCTTGAACAACCATGAGCAAGACCCTACCTGCTATGCTAAATATGACATACGTCTAATGCAGTTAGGATTCCAAAAGCACCATAAAGAGAATCAACGGGCATATGTTTTTCCTAATTTGTTATTTGTTTATAAATATCTCCCACCTTACAGAAGAGGATAAGTGAGGACGTACCTGTCTCAGGTTATGCAGTTCTGAATTTGTACGTTCTTGCTTTGACTTTGCAATATCAAGCAGCTCATCTTTCCTCCTTTCTCTCTCTACTATTTGAGAACAAATATTATTAAAACATTCTTCATCAGCCAGATCAACACAAACCTCTCCCTTTCCAACAATTTAATGCTCAACTAACAGGTTTTTGTTGTTGTTCCTGAACTTAAAAATAGCAGCATGGCTTACTGGGAAGAGCTTTAACCTGTGATTCCCACTAGATCCTTCGTTTTTGGGAGATAGGATGAGGGTGATTTCTAAATCTCTATACATAATAATATAGTACTTTAGCTTTTAACCCTTTTCATATGACACAAGTATATTCTGAATGCATTTTCACTGTCAAAAATCCAAACAACATACTATCTTTATCAACAAAAAAAATTAACACTATAAGGGGGGGAACTAATTTACCATTATGCAAATCAATCTGATATAATGTCAATAATCAAGCCCTTCCTACATATTCTCACTGACCAAAGATATTTGTACCTGTGCGGTAGCCCCACAGGTGGACAAACTACCCATTTTACTAAAAGCCAAGTACTCCTTTAAAGACTTTCTTGAAAACTCTTTCTTTCTGCTAGGGAAGTAAGATTCAGAATGCCCTTTAACATGTATAGTAGTACACTCAGTTTCTTTGTGCAAAAAGACTGAGAGAAGTAATATAATTGTTTAAAATCTTCATTCTTTTACAAAGACCATAAACATTTTGCTGAAACATAGACATTTCAGTATTACCAGAGCTGGGGTATGGTAAATCAATATTTAAAAAATAGCTTCAGAGTTTGGTAAATGTGAACCCATAAAGAGGAAAGACTCTGAGGTACTGTACCAGAGAAAAACACTAATATTATGCTTAAGGAGAAATAATTCGACTCATATAGAACTGAGATAGCAACAATAAATGTTTGGCCAGGCACGGTGGCTCATGCCTGTAATCCT